TTGTAGCAAGAATTTTTTGGATGTGGAAAACTAGTTATGCTAAGGACTTGCAACCAACTTCTTCGCAGACTATCGAAGGTTAGGTTAAGTTGTTTTGTTGTGTCTACTCTTTGAAGTTTAGATTTACTGTTGTTCCCACATTTGGTGCTGCTGTTTATGCAGGTGGAGACAATTAGGCTTACTGAGTCATTGTCTTATACATTCTCAAGAATTGTTGTGGTGTGTCTTGTTCTCTCTTGTGTTACTTGCATCGAGCGAAGATTAGTTTTCACAATACTTTTCATATACATATGTGCAGTCTCATAGTTTAAATGAACAGTAAGCACAATAATTTGCACCGTGTATTGTCATGGAATATTTGTTATAATCTAGTATAAATAAATGTTCTGGTCGAATTTGAATTGTAAATTTAATTTTTTTGGCGGAAAAGTGATTTGTAGGGCGGTTGGTACTGTAGCCGCCCCTACAAATCGATTTGTAGGGGCGGCTGGTGTTTCCAGACCGCCCCTATAAATCGATTTGTAGGGGCGGCTACAGTACCAACCGCCCCTACAAATCGATTTGTAGGGACGGTCTGGGAACCGCTCCTACAAATGCATGATTTGTAGAGACTCTTGCGTAGGGGCGGCTGGCCGAACCGTCTCTACAAATGCTTATTAGCGGCCCCTGAAAACCATATCTAACATAGTGAAAACACCAATGCTCGTTTGAATGGCATATGCCACCGGCCGTGGGATGGAAAGCAGTTGTAATAAGTACAATTTAATTTGCCTACTTATTGAGAGTATCTTATAGTAATTGTTTATATATTATAATAATAATACAAACTCTAAATCTGATATATGCACATGCGGCTCTACGTATGGCTATATATATAGCCTGTAGCGGGCTACAAAATAACTTATTCTGTAGCCACTTTGAGTTACGATAATTACTATGTTAATTTACAAGATTATAATAACTCCTTACTAAGTAGTTTACTATAACGTTACGGTAAATATCCCCATGTGTTATAGGAGAGTATATTCAGTAGTAGACAGCTACAAAATAAGTTATTCTGTAGCCACCTCCATTTACGATAATTTTATATACTAATTTACGATAATGTCAATACATATTTACGATAATGTCTATAGAACTACTATCTGTAGCTAGCTACAAAATAACTTATTCTATAGCCACTTTGAGTTACGTTAATTACTATGTTAATTTACGAGATTATAGTAACTCCTTACTAAGTGGTTTGCTATAGCGTTATGGTAAATATCCCCATATGTTATAAGAACCTAACTATCGTAAATATGTATTGACATTATCGTAAATTAGTATATAAAATTATCGTAAATGGAGGTGACTACAGAATAACTTATTTTGTAGCTGGCTACTGAATATAGTCTCTCTCTCTATGTCTCTCTCTCTCTCTCTCTCTCTCTATATATATATATATATATATATATATATATATATATATATATATATATATATATATATATATATATATATATTACATGTAGTATGTGTACTTTAAAGTTGAGTTAGTAGAGGTCATTATACATAGTACATACCTCGCCATCGACGGACGTATCACCTACTGCACTAAAAGAATAGCGTGGATAGCATATCCTAACATCAAAAAATATATATAAAAAAAATACGTCCGTGGTTTGCTAGATTGCTGCACAAAGAAAATAATGAGAAAAAAGCTCAGTAAGCACTGCACAAAGAACATAATTACAAAAGCAGGGCCCGCTCCAGCATCTGCGTCAGCTACCTTACCTTATCTTCTCCCACCAATCAGCTTGCTACCAGGCCTTCGTCCTGCTCAGGTCCAGTCGCTATCGCTAGCTAGCTAGCGTCCCCGTCCGCCAACACAACCAACGTACCACAAATATAGTATCTATCTATTTATTTCTAGTTGAAAAAAAGAGTTGAAAGGTCAGTTTCTACAATGCCCTAGGCTCGTCCTGTTTAGCAAACAAAACAAGATAACTTTGGCGGCCCATACCACACGCAAATGCCTCACCTCAATCTATCCATCTATGCGTCACCGTCGATCAAGCGGCTGGACCAACCCCACGCCATCACAGGGAGTCGTCAGACCATCGCCAACCAATGTGACCCAATCCCGCCGTATTTGTTTCTATTGTGTGCGGAAGGGTTGTCCTCTCTTTTGAGGTCTGTTGGTCCATTGCATTTATCCAGAGGCGTCCGCATGGGTATTCACGCTACATGGATATCGCACATTCTCTTTGCGAATGATTGCATCGTTTTCTCCGAAGCGTCGCAGAGAGGGGCTGCTAGACTTCAACACATTCTTGACATTTATAGTCGAGGATCAGGGCAGCAAGTAAACAGAGATAAGTCAGCCGTCTTTTTCAGTAAGAACTGTCTGGATGAGGAGAAGGATGTTGGCAGGAATGAGTTGCACATTGCTACTGAGGCGTTGTCTGAAAGATATCATGGCCTTCCTACAGCCTTAGGCCGATCCACTTCTAAGGCTTTTGAATTTCTGCCGTCAAGAATAAAGGGCCTTGTTGGCACCTGGAGCGGCCGGGAAGCAAGCAATGCTGGTAGAGAGGTTCTTCTCAAGTCGGTTGCACAGGCAGTACCTACGTACTCGATGAGTTGCTTCCTGTTGTCAAAAACTACCAGCAACAAGATGAGGTCCACCATTGCCAATTACTGGTGGGGAGGGTCCGGGGACAGTCACCGCATTCACTGGCTCCGTTGGGATAGCTTGACTCGGCACAAGACAGAAGGGGGGATGGGCTTCCGGGACCTGCATCTTTTCAACAAATCTATGTTGGGGAAACAGGGCTGGAGACTCATTACTCGGCCGGACAGTTTGTGTGCCAGGGTGTTGAAGGGCCTGTATTTTCATGATGGCGATTTCCTGGACAGTACAAGGAAGAAACATGCTAGCCATACTTGGCGTTCGATCCTTGCTGGAAGAGACATCCTTCAGAGGGGTCTCATCAAAAGAATTGGGAATGGCAGGTCGACAAATATATGGCGCGACCGGTGGATTCCGATGCATTTTGACGCCAGACCAATTACTCCTGGTGCCGATCAGGAGCTGACCCAGGTCTCAGAACTGATGACAGAATCTGGTCAGTGGGATGAAGCAGTCATCAGGGCTATACCTTCCTCCCAATTGACGCCAACGCCATACTGCGAATTCCTCAACGCTCGCAGGAGGATGACTGGTGGGCATGGGAACTGGAGAAGCACGGCGACTACACGGTTAAGTCGGCATATAGAAAACTGGCTGCATCAAATACCACCCAGGCTAGTGCTTCTCGAGATGATTCATGGAAGAGTATTTGGAAATTAAAAATTCCGCCAAAAGTTAAGGTTTTTTGCTGGCGAATCCTACATGAGTTCATTCCGGCTAAGGACATCCTAAACCGGCGTCACATTGAGCCAACAAGTTTCTGTGAAGTGTGCGGAGCTGATAGGGAGACCATCAAGCACAACCTTACCGAGTGTACGACGGCAAGGCTGTTCTGGCGAGAGATGAAAGCACTCACGGGAGTCAAGCTACCCCAGTCGCATCCCTTCACTTGGGCGAGCGATCTGCTCAAAGAAGGTTTTTGCTCAAAAGCTGATCGCAGTGTCCTCATTATCGGCATTTATGCACTATGGTTGCAGCGGAACAAGCAACGCCATGGTGCTGACCTGCTACCACTTAAGAAAATTGTACAATGGACTGTCGACTTGCGCATGACTTGTGGCAGCTTACGAAGTCTGTACGGCAGTTGGCGACGAGTCACTAGCAGATCTGGACATCATTGCCGGTTCAAAAACCCACTTCACTGTCGGATTTTGAACCGATAGTGATGGGGGGTTGACATCACTGTCGGTCCTTAAAAACCGACACTGATCTACAGAAAACAGTGTCGGTTCCTGGCTCCACCACTACTGGATTCAGGTTCTTTGCCGAGTGCCTGAGGCACTCAGCAAATGCCAAATTGCACTTGTCAAAGGCTTTGCCGAGTGCGGCACTCGGCAAAGAACACACGGCAAAAAATTAATCGGCAAAGCCCTCTTTGCCGAGTGTCTTTTATCGAGCACTCGGCAAAGACTTTGCCGAGTGCCCCGGGGACACTCGGCAAAGAAAAGCGACCGTCAGGACGCCGGTCCCGTTGACGGTCACTTTGCCGAATGCCAACCCTGCAGGCACTCGGCAAAGATTTTTTATTTTTTTTAAAAAAAAATCTTTGCCGAGTGCCAACACTGCAGGCACTCGGCAAAGATTTTTTTATTTTTTTTAAAAAAAATTCTTTGCTGAGTGCCAACCCTGCAGGCACTCGGCAAAGAGTTTTTATTTTTTTTACAAAATTTCTTGATTTTTTTATTTTTTTTCTTTGCCGAGTGCCAACACTGCAGGCACTCGGCAAAGAGTTTTTATTTTTTTTAAAAAAAATTCGTTGCTGAGTGCCCTCTATTCGGCCCTCGGCAAAGATGTTTTATTTTTTTTCTAAAAATTCTTTGCCGAGTGCCCCCTTTCCGACGCTCGGCAAAGTTTGAATTTTTTTTAAAAAAAATTCTTTGCCGAGTGCCCTCTGGCCGACACTCGGCAAAGTTTGAATTTTTTTTTAAAAAATTATTTGCCAAGTACCGTGGTCATTACACTCGGCAAAACTGGGAAAATGGTTTTTCGAGCACTCATTTTTCCAGCTTTGCCGAGTGTCATGACCATTGCACTCGACAAAGTGACTGAAAACAACCTTTTTTATTTGTTTTTTACATTCAATCCAAACAACCAGAAGATATATATAACAAACATCACAAATTGGTGTCACATTATCGTTACATTAACATGCGTACCAATCATAGAAACATACATTGAGTTTCATTTATTAGCGAGTCCACTGCTGTCACATAGTTTGAGGACAATCAATTCATGATCAAGCTAACTAGTATGTATCAATTCACAATCAAGCTAACAAATATTTTGTCCTATATATCTTTTCTAAGGCAAATGGGTAGCACTTCCCCTATCTCGGCATCAACATCTCTTGTCTTTGGTCAGAATCTCTTCTAGAGAAATGATCTGCAAAAATGGTGAAACACGCTTGCAGATAACCGCTGGGCCTCTGCCTCCACGCACCGCACTGCTGCCTCCTCAGGCCTTCTATAGCCAGATTGTTCTACAAAATAAGACCACAAATCAGTAAGCATTTCAGTTAAATCAACCATAAGTTCATTCATAGTAAAGTGGAACCAAAGACAGATGCTGATTGTAAGACATCACCAAAACAACTTAATTATAGTTCATCATAATAGGCATGTATACTTTTCATAAGTCAAATGGGCAAATGACAAGCATATTGAGAGCTCATGCCTTTTTCAAAAACTACAGTCCAATATCATGCATTAAAGATATTTTCTAGCATTATACTTTACACATGAATTTAAATCTATCATACACCAGTAAGTTGAAAGCAGCAGCAGGTATCATCAGACAATGTTATAAAAGATGTATATCTAGGAACTGATGCAATTTAGATGAAGAAATGCTGAAGACAGTTTCTGAAACTACTATACTCATATTTGCTGAAGCATGAGGATCGTTCGATGCCGCCGATTGATTCTGCACACTAATATTAGTTAGTAGTTACTAATAGCTCGTCCGGTTAAGCGAGAACTACGCACTGATTAAATGTAACTTTGAAAGTAGTTAAGACTAGCATGTCCACGCAGGTACTACGCACTGATATAGCATGTTAGAATGTAAAATAACAAAAAGACAAGCATAACAATGGTTTGCTGCTTCACAAGATGTACAGTAATGATTAATGTAAATATAGAGCTTTACCATGCGGTGAAGCAAAAGCCAACGGAGAGTGAAATTGCATTCTCTAATGACAGAAAGAAGACTCTGAGAATTATTGAGCACATACTCCTTGTTTATGGCATGCATGTGAATATCCAAGTGAGCTAAAAAATAAGGAACCTAGAGTTGAAAAAAAAAACAGCATGCAAAGTCAAAAAAAGGAAAGTGAGAAAATTTCAGGAAAAGAATACAGATAGTCAATCCAAGAGGAGCATAGAAAATTTCAAGTTCAACTAATTTATGAATTAGAGAAAAAAGTAGGTATTGAGCTGCAATTCACAATCAACATCCAAAACAGGAAAATCTTTGATAATAATAGAATAAAATGTTTTGCTATACTCACCTTTGTATAATGGTGAAGACTGATATCACGAATGGAAGTGGGAGAAAGGCAGGAAACTAATGATGACTTTGCTTCTTTGTATGCATCCCAAGAGACAAGTAAATCAACTGAGAAATGCAAGAATATGGGAACCACCCAGTTGTCTTTGAAGAACCGGTCAACAATCTCCCGCATAGCCAAACCTCTGTGCAGAAGGCCATGAGAGTAAAACAAAAGAACATACAGATGTCCACCTTGCAGGGACAGAGCAGTAGTCCGGTGCTGCGGATCAGGATAGAAGCGGATGTTGTTGTACACATCCCCATTTCTCAAGCAGGTTATGACAGCATTCACAACAGGTTCGGGCAATAGAAACCTCCTGAGTAGGTCCTCAGACTTCTGAATAGAAATAATGTCCGAGCTAAATGGTGATGAACCAGGACTAGCAGAAGTACCCGGGGTCGGCACATGCCGACGACAGAGCTCACATATCTGCTCCAGATTGGGATAGCTAAAACAGCGTTTGTGCCACAAGGAGCCTCTCGCGCAGCAACCCACCAATTTTGTGTTCCATTATAAGAATCATGCATCCGAACAGAGTCATTGACTCCACGAGTAACTGGCATGCGCAGTTATTCTCCAACACATGATCTAATGTGCAGTGGACATATAACCCTTCCTAAACATGAAAGAACACTCGTTTAGTGTCACTAAAATTGGGACTGGGGGCATCATGTTTGACGCTCTAGTTCATCTAAAAATATTTAGCAACAATGGCATCAATCTACAAGTTACAAAGACACTGCAACGGCGCAAAGCCTAACCTGCAGATCATTCAGGTAATTGCAGAGCTCTCCGTGGTAAGTGACGGCGCCATCCAGAAAGGAGAAGAATATCTGCATGTAAGAGCCGCAGGAGTCACGGAGCTGATCTTCCAGTGCTTCCAGCTATTAAAACTTAAAGCTACGGTGGGTACTCGAGATGTGCAGATTTCTATCTACGAATAGGAGAATTCACAAAGTTGCACTTTCGCATTGCGATGGTACGGATTTTATTATTTATGGCAGAGAACACAGCGAGAGATGTCACCGGAAGTCGAAGAGGACGGGGTCGAAGCGGCGGTCTGCGAACAGCGGAGGTGCGCGGTCGGACAGCAGGAGCAGCTCAGCGATGAGGGTCTCCGCGCGCGCGCAGAAACCTAGGAGCTCCAGGAAGTCACCGGAGTCGGTGCCAGAGGCGGGCGGGCGGCTTGTGCCAGTCTCCGCCATGGCTTGTGCCAGTCTCCTCCATGGGTGGGCCTGTACCTGCAGCAAGAGAGCACTGCCGCGGGGGCTGGCAGCTTGCGCGAGGACGCCGGCGGACCTCCGTGGCCTATCCCTCGAGCGCGAGGACGGCGGGAGAGAGGGAGCGGAAGCGGAAATGCGGAGCAGAGCGGCGGCGGCTGGGGTGAGACCGTGAAAAGTGAATGGGTTAGGGTTGGTGCGCTGGGCCGGCGGGGTTAAATTCCTCCTTTGCCGAGTGCCTCCGATCCGGCACTCGGCAAAGTATTTTTTTTAACTTTTTCTTAATTCTCTGCCGAGTGCCAGACCTGGCACTCGGTAAAGAGATTTTTTTTTTAAAAAAAATAATTTTTGCTGAGTGCCTCCGATCTGGCACTCGGCAAAGTATTTTTTTAATTTTTTTAATTCTTTGCCGAGTGCCACCCGGCCTGGCACTCGGCAAAGAGGAGATTTTTTTTAAAAAAAATTAAAATTCTTTGCCGAGTGACATGCCTCGGCACTTGACAAAGTTTTTTTTGTTTTTGGCCTCCAAATTTTTTGTGCAGCCCTTTTAGAGCACCAGGAACTCCTAGTTAGAATTTGGGGATTTTTTGTGGTTTTTTTAATATATTTAGTTACTTTATTTAGTTTACTTGAATTTTTTCGAAAAATATAATTTTGAACAGCACGTGGTACGATAATGGAATTTAATCATTCAAAAAATGATAGTCATGTTACTGAGTGTAGTGTGAGGCCGTATCCAGGAATGGACCTGAAATTTCGGACATCTTATTCACGAAACATGGCCGGGAACTTACGTGCAAAGAGTTTTTAAATTCTATAAAAAGAAAACGAAGTCTGAAAATCATGAAACTTATTGAGATGTCGTGATATTATATGTGGAGGCTATGATAAAAATTTCAGAAGATTTCGTGCACGTTGTCACGTACGATGTTTATAAACCAGAACATCTCTACATGTGATATCTGATATCACATGTAGAGATGTCCTGGTTTGTAAGCATCATACGTGACAACTTGCACGAAACATTCTTAAATTTTTATCACAGAGTCCGCATATGATATCATGACATCTTGACAAGTTTCATAATTTTCGGACTTCGTTTGCTTTTTATAGAATTTAAAAACAACTCGACCGCAAGTTCGTAGTCATGTTTCGTGAACAAGATGTTCGAAATTTCGAATCCGTTCCTGGATACGGCCTCACACTACACTCAGTAACATGACTATCATTTTTTGAATCATTAAATTTCATTATTCGTACCACGTGCAGTTCAAAATTATATTTTTCGAAAAAATTCAAGTAAACTAAATAAAGTAACTAAATATATCAAAAAGCTACAAAAAATACCCAAATTCTAACTAGGAGTTCCTGGTGCTTTGAAAGGGCTGCACAAAAAATTTGGAAGCCAAAAACAAAAAAACAAAAAAAACTTTGCCGAGTGCCGGGGCATGGCCCTCGGCAAAGGGGGTCTTTGGCGAGTGCCAAGAATAAGGCACTCGGCAAAGAGGGTTTTGAATTTTTTTTTAAAAAAATTTCTCTTTGCCGAGTGCCTTCACAGAGGCACTCGGCAAAGACATTTTTTAAAAAAAAAATTAAATCTTTGCCGAGTGCCGTATCAGGAGCACTCGGCAAAGTATTTTTCAAAAAAAAACTTTACCGAGTTCCAGATCTGGGACACTCCGCAAAGAAATTTCAAAAAAAAATTAAATCTTTGCCGAGTGCCAGATCTGGGACACTCGGCAAAGAATTTTTTAAAAAAAATAAATCTTTGCCGAGTGCCTAACAGTAGGCACTCGGCAAAGAAGGACGTGACCGAACACCGTTATGCGGGGCGGTCTATGCCGAGTGCCGCTCTTTTGCCGAGAGTCTGGCACTCGGTAAAGAAGTCCTTTGCCGAGTGCACTTTTTTGCCAAGTGTCTGGCACTCGGCAAAGAACTCTTTGCCGAGTGCAATTCTTTGCCGAGTGCGGCACTCGGCAAAAAAGGTCTTTGCCAAGTGTCCGATTTTTGACACTCGGCAATGAATTTTGCACTTAGCAAAGGCTCTGTTTCCAGTAGTACACCCGATAGTGTCCAGTTGAACAACAATGCCAGTTTGTAGTTCCAACCGACAGTGACGGTTACTTCAAGAGTGTCGGTTCTTGGCTCAAGCCAGCATTGTTGAGCAAGCCTACATTGTCGGTTCATGGATCAAACCGGCAGTGTTGTAGTAAATATCAGTATCGGTTCATGGATCAAACCGGCGGTGTTATAGTAAATATCAGTGTTGGTTCATGGATCAAACCGGCAGTGTTGATCAAGCCAACACTGTTGGTTTGTTTCTAACCAGCAGTGATGGTTACGACAACACTGCCGGTTTGTTGCTAACCGGCGGTGATGGCCCATTCATATTTTATTGTTTTATAATTTATTTTAATTTATATTTTTTCGTGGAATCAGATTTCGCTTTATATACGCTACGTAGATGATAGGTCAATCAATATTAAACATTACAAATATTAAGATTACAATTCAAATGTTGATATCCACATTTGGATTCCTCAAAATAAAAAAGAAATGTTCTTGGACTTCACACATGCTTCTTGGACTTCTTACAATAATCTGATGAGCTGCTCTGGGCCATACTGGTCCTTGTACTTCACGGACTGTGCAATGGAAAATACTCCATCTTTTTCCAATATCTCGGCTAAGATGAATTTTGCCAGCTCCGATTGTAGTGTGACAATCTCCATGTCTAGCAGCCTTTCGTGCTTATATTTTTTGCGTTGTCGTTCAAAAAAGATGATATCCAAAGAGGAACAGTAAATCATTTTGTAGACTTATTAATAGACATAAATGAAATGAAGATTATACACACCAACATTACATAAAACCCGCATTCATTATTTCCCGCCGGTTGTAATAGGTACTTCCCCTCCATTTTGACAACCTTGAATGGGACCGACGTCCTATCGATATGTCTTCTTCGGACACTAAACAACATTAAAAGGAGAAACATTAGAAAACGGTATGTGTGATTAGAAAATAATATATTATTAGGATCGCTTACTAATTCAGCACTGCCACCAGTGCATCCAGATGATGAAATGATTTTTTCTTCGAGTCCCACACCTCGAGTAGATTTTTGGCAAGATTAACACAAATGAAGATGAAATGGTTGTTGCAATCACAGAATCCTAATTATCGAATAATCTTAACAAAAAAAGAAGCATAAAATTAAAAGCCGAGAACATATACTCGCAGTTGTAGGCTACAAGTAGGTGGGTTTTCTTCTTCATCGTGAATTCGTCGAAAACAGCAATCAATCTCTGTTTTAGGTCTTCCACGTCACATCCATAGATGCCTAGACATGTCCTCTCATTGACTCGCATGGGGTCCAAGAAGCCTATGTAATCCCATTTGCTTTTTAGAATACAAAATTTTGCTATATACCTACATAAAATCATGAGAAGTGCTCAAAAGTTAACAATTTATGTCTCGAGAGAGTAGTTAATTGTAATATCGTGCGTGTAGGGTACTTACATAGTCCACAGCGTCAATATTTGAACATCGAGAGAGCGTTTCTGTTATAGCTGGAACAAGCACTCCCACTCGACATCGAACTTCTCTTTTTCAGGATAATGAAAAACATGTGGCGAACGGATAATAAACTCAAAACCAAAGTCGTCCATCTCTGTTGCTTGAGCCATGTAATATTCATGTAACTGGCGCATATATGTTGTCAGATTTTAATACTCATGATCGGGAACCAAAAGATTGCCCCTTTCATACTTCATTGCCGGTGTTGCCGTCCCTTGTACATCATAATAGATGGTCACGGCCTCTTATATGGTTAATCCTGGGTTGTCTTCGACGTACTTATGTATGTTTCTTAAATCTTTATTGTGTATTTCTTTGTCTCTTATTGTAGCGTATTTATTCTGTGTTTGCCTTTCGTATTCGGACTTCAATAAAAACGGAGGCAGTGAGGCACATAGATTGAAGAAACTAACACAATCTTTCTTCGAAATGTGTGCTGTAAATTTGTCTTTCATCAAGGTGGTAACGCTGCCACTGAACGACATTTTTCTTTTATGTTGGTCCACTTTGGGAGCATTAGCGACCGAATCCAAGGACCTATTCTGCGACTGCAAGGATGTCTTGATCTTGTTTTGGGCTAAGGTGGAGGAGGAGGATGACGACGAGAATTCTATTTTCCCGACGCTGATGAAGATGGAGGAGGAGTCTCTTTTCTCGGGGCTGATGAAGATGGAGTCGGATGAGGAGGAATAGAAGGAGACCTCTATCTTCTCGGGGGTGATGGCTCCAGATGAGGAGGGGAGAAATCTCTATTGGGAGATGGTGAGTGATCATCGCGGGTGGGCGAAGACTCACAATCGTCCTCATCATCAGAGGACAATTGATGGTCAAGCTTAATGAAGCTCTTACACCAGGCGACCTAAGAGCCCTTGTTTTGACCAAGTTTTGGCCTGTTTTCCGCTACGGGGTACTCAATGGGTATCTTGTTATACTTCTTATCAAGTATTATGTCAATGGTGACGCGAGCGTACCCCAGTGGAATTGGGCGGCCATTAATTGTCCCGTCTTCCATAGGCCAGGTCTGGCCGAGCGCCACCTTGTCCTTTGTCCATTCCTGACAGATGTACAACCTGACATTGACGGGTTCAGTGATGTCGTCCACCGGACGAGGCACATTTGCCTCTTCTTCGTCGAGTGGGGTTGATCTGCAGCTGCTGCAACCTCTAAACTGTGGGCTAAAGGCACTAGGAGTAGGGTTTTGTGGTACTACTGACCCCTTGGACAGCAAAATTTGCTCGACTCATGCTTTAACGGTCGCCTCAATCCGTGCTTCCATTCTATATTCTATCTCTTTTAGTCTTCTCAAATACTCTACCTCATGTTCCGCTCTACCCCTCGAGCGGCTCTGGTAAGTGTTAGATTCTTGAGGGAATGCTAGTTTCCAAGGAACAACACTGGTTCCTCTA